GATTCATAGTGTTTAAAATTATTGTTATTGGTGATGCCAGTGTAGGAAAAACATCTTTAGTTAAAAGATATGTTGATAGAAAATTTTATAAAGAATTAAAACCAACTATTGGTGTTGATATAAAAAATAAAACAATAAACATTAATGGAGAAAATATATGTCTTAGTTTTTTTGATACTGCAGGTCAAGAAAAATTTGCTGCTGTTACTGATAGTTATTTTAAAGGTGCAAAGGCATGTATCATTGTGTATGATATTACTAAAGCAGTTACATTTAATAGTGTTGATAAATGGTATAATAAACTAAGAAATATTGTTAGTGATCCTATTCCAGTTTTAATTATAGGGAATAAATTAGATGTTGAGCAACAAAGGGATATTACTGCTGATGTTGGGGCTTCTCTTGCTAGAAAACTAGGTGCTTTTTTTATTGAAACTTCATGTTTAAATGGATCTAATGTTGACAAAGCAATTAAAATTATTTCTAATGAAATTAGTAACAACAAAGTAGTTAAAAATTTGAGTTTAGCTCAACCAACAAGTATTCATCTTGAAAAACCTGATATTGAACAACAAACATCAAAACAGTGTTGCTAATTAAATTGTTTCTATTTTTTTATCTTTTTTTTATTAATTTTTGAAATAAAAAATAAAAAGAATATAAAAAACAAAAAATAAATTAAAATAACAAAAAAAAAGTAAATGAATGAGAAAAATAATAGTTTTTATTCTTCTTCAGAACTTGAATCTTCTAAATCAGACACAACACAATCTTCAAATTTAAGAGATTCTAATGTTGACTCAACTTTTTCACGTACAGATGAAATAGTATTTGGATTAAATTCAATATCATTAATACCCATTTTTAATTCTTGTAATTGAGTCATTTCTTTATTAAATACTAAACGTAATTCCCACAAAAATCTAAAATATTCTTCTGAATTTTTTGATGTAGTTTCTTGTCTTCTATAATGAGAAATAATAGTTTTATCACCATCAAGAATTACTGCAATTTCCCAAACCATTGGTTCTATAATAATAATAAGTATTTAAAAAAAATAAATGAAATAAACTAAATAAAACAAACGTGCATCTTTAATAAACAAATTACCACATACTGCTTTTAATTTCATAGTAGAACTTGCAATAATTTTTTGATTAATTGCTTTTAAAAATGTAATAACAGGGGATACTTCATTTGATCCTTCATCAACATAAACACTTTTTAATACTCTCATTAAAAATGTTTTTTGAACAGAAAGATCTTCTGAATTATCCATAACAGCATTCCATTCTTTTTCTACACGTTCACAATGTTTTTCATCAAAGATTTTAGTAATGCATTGAATAACTTTTAAACAATCACCTGTCGTAACTTTATTTCCTTGTACATCAACTACAATTTTAACTTTACCATCAGTTTTATTTCCATCTTCTGGGAATAAACATGAAATTTCATTTTCATTTGTTTTACGTACAATAGATAAATGTTTTAATAAACGTGGTAAATCTCCAGCAATAGGAAATGTTTCAAAATTCCCTTCAACAACAACTTTTCTTGTTTGATCTCTCCAATCAGGCATATTCTTTAAAAGATTAACCATTGAACCAGTAGCATAACCTGCTACTTTTGGATTAGCAATGGCGACAGGTGGAAGTTTTGAATTTTCTTCGTTAGTTAATTTCTTTTCTTTTGCTTCTTTCTTTTCTTTTTTACTTTTTTCTTTTTTCTCTTTTTTTTCTTTCTTTTCTTCGCTTGTTGTATGTTTAATTCGAGAGAATAAATCAAATAATCCTTTCTTCTGTTTCTTCACCTTCACCCCTTCTGCTTCACTCATCTCAATTTATTAGATGTTATTTTTTTCTTTTTGTTTTTTCCTTTTTTAAAGTCTCCTTATCAGTGCTATTTTTATTCTCCAAATTTTTGATTTTCTATCATGTTAATTTTTCTTAAAACTCCCCCCTCTTTTCCTTCTTTCTTATCTCAAAAGTATTCATTGAAATTACCAAAAATAACATAATTATTTAGTTTTTTTTTTATAAGTTATTTTATTATATAAAATAGTTTCTATTTAAGTATTGTCCTTGCAACAACGAAACTGTTTTAATTATTTTTATGAATAACAGAATATAAAAATTGCATATAAAACATTTATCACAAATAATTTGTTATTTTCTCAGTCATGAGATGAAAAAGATCTTTCAATAGTCCCTAAACATTTCTATATTATAGTTAATATTATTCTTAATAAAACATTCATTATTAAATAAAAAACAAACTTTTCCATTGATGTTATAATCAACAACATCTGAACGGACACGGACATGACTACCTTTTCTTATTTGGTAGAGAGAAGCTCGATCCTTATCACGATAACAACCACTTTGTTCAACATATTCACAATCAGCTACTTTTGATGCTGTGACATGAATATTTTTCCATGACCCCACATCTACTGTAACTCCTTCTTTATTAACACTAGAAATAATACCATCAACAACTTCTGATCGGATGATTTTCTGAACAATTGCTTCAAATTTTACTGAAAATACAACATTCCCTGTACCTTCTGCAATCTATTTGTTTAAGTAATGATCATAAAAATAAAATGAATATCAAACTCTTATAGGTTTATGTTCTAAAACATTTAACACACAAATTACAATACATTCATAATCCTTATTATATCCTGTTGTTTCTGAAATATATTTATCAAGATAATCTTCGATACCTCCATTTAAATGTTCAGGAGTAACTTGAATCGTGTATGATAAAATAAGCTAAAAAATAAATCATGTTTAAATGAATGAAAATTAATAAACAAAAGATAAAGTAAAAAACCTTGAAGAACATAATCCAATCATTTTTAGATTTTTTCTTACTTTTTTTAATTAATTTTTTTGTTTTATATTTTTGTTATTATTTTTTTTTTAATTAAATTTTTTGGATTTCCATTTTTATTTTTAAAAAAATTTGATTTCAAGTTAAGTAATAAAACAAATTTTAAAGAAATAATAAAAAAATAGAAAAATATAGTAAATAAAAATAGGTAAAGATAAAAAAAAAGAATTGAAGAAAAATTATTGAACTAAAATTGTATTAGAAGAGGACAATATGGTAAAAGACGAGAAATTACTTCCAAGAGAACAAAGGGAAAGTATACAAAATCTTCGAAACAAAATTAAAGCACAATTTCAAGGAGAATTAGAAATACTTCATGCACAAAAATTCCTTGTTAAGTTATATGATTTACAACAAAAAGAGATATCAGAAGAAAAGAAGAAAGCTAAAGGAAAAAAAAGAAATAAAATTAAACCACGTAAAAGACCTGCTCGTGTTATTTCAGAAACATCACCAGAAAATACTGAAATTGCTATTCGTGTACATGATTTACGTATTTTAGATAAAGACTATGATCCATTGCCTGTATTCCTTGTTAGAAGTACATATGGAAGTGAAACTGCTATGGTATATAAAAGATTTGATCAATTTGAAGAACTTCATTCTGAATTAAAACCAAAAAATCTTGCTGCACAATTACCTACTAAAGCTGATGCATTTAAAGAAGATACAAGTGATTTGTTAACTCAACTTACAAAGTATATGTTAGTTATATTAAAAGAAAAAAGAATTGCACATTCTAAAACATTAAGATCATTTTTAGGTCATGCTACAGAAAAAGATGCATATTCAGATGTATTTGATTGGGCAATGAAACGAATTAGTGCATTTACTCATAATATTGTTTATCATGATCCTGTTGAAGGGTTAACTAAATATATTGTAGTAGAAGTTTGTTATGAAGACGATTCAGTAAAACGACCTGATGCAAAAAATAAACAAGAATTCCTTGAGTTTTTAAGAATTGTAATGAAAGCAACAGCAGAGGACATTAGTGAGTTTTGGTTCCAAATACAAAAAGATTTTGAAGCAGTTGAATTATCATTAAATAATTTCTCTGATATGAAAATGTTATTAGATGAATATTGGGGATATATCCATACAGTTCAAAATGCTGCTAAAGATAATATAAGCGAGTACCTTAAAGAATTTCATGTCACAACTAATGTTGTATTAAAAGAAATGTTACCTTGTTTTAAATATTTATATGGTCATTTTGAAGGATTACTAGAAGTGTGTCATTCATTACAACAAGAACTTGTTGATCCAAATTGTGCAGTTATTTCTGATGATGTTGAAACAGAGTTATATGATATGAAAAGAATTATTAAAGATTGTCCACCATCTTTATATGAACAAATGGGAGAAATTGCTGGTCATATATCACCACCATTTACTAAGTTAAGATTATTTTTCACTTGTTTTGATCATATTATTGAAGGAATGACAGGATTCTTCCAAGTAAGAAATATAGTTACAGTATTAAATGAAATGATGGCAAGAAAAGTTGGAATGGTAAAAGATGAAGATATCAGTAAGAAAAGAATAGATACTATGGAAGAAGAATTATATGTTTTCTTATGGAGATTTGAAAGGGATGGTAAATTTGATGTATGGAGATGTTTTTATGAAATTGATAAAAAGATTACAGCAGAGTATCAGGCATTATCACCTGATGAAAAGATTCAACTAAAAGACTATTTTTATACATTAACTAATATGATCGTTTCAATATCTGATCATTGTTTATTAATGACTGATATTCTTCATAGAGGATTAAAAAAGTTTTGGTGGAAGGCTATGGATTATTTATCATTTAAAACATTAAATAAAAGAAAAAAAGAAATAAATATTCCTGAAATTATTAAAGAATCATTTGAATTTGGAGTACAAAAAATGGTAAAACATTTAAGAAAAAATTTAATAAGTTGTATGACTGATTGTATTGCAGAAATATTTGCTAAAGCTGTTAGAGAAGAAATTATGGACCAATGTCAAGCAAGACAAACACATCTTGAAATTTCTGAACAATATATTAAAATTATGCCATTTGAAGTTATTGTATTAAATGCCTATTTACATATGTTAAAAGATGAGATATATAATTGTGTTTTTAAGTGGATCCATTTCTTTGTAATGAAAGATGTAAAGATAGTAAGACGAAAAGAAAAAGAAGAAGGTGTTGTTGATGAAGGAGTTGTCATTAAAAAGAAAAAAACCGAAGAAATAAAGAAAGAAGAGCCTAAAGAAGAAAAAGAAGAAACGGATCAATCAAATAATAAAGAAAAATCAAGAATTAGTTTAGAACCAAATATCTCAGATGTTGATATGATTGTTAAAGATGAAAAAGAAGAGAAAAATGAAAATAACTTAGAAGGAGAAAAAGAAAAAGAGTCTTCAAAGAAAGGAAATAACTTAGAGGAAGAAGAAAATAAATCAATTAAAAGTAAAACGTCAAAAAGTGAAGTTATTAATGACGAAGATTTAACATTTGAATGTGATTTAAGTAACGAAGAAAATATAAATGAAGAACAGGAAGATGAAGAGGATGAGAGTGAAGAAGATGAAGAGGATGATAGTGACGAAAGTGATGTTGTTGAAGAGAAAAAAGAAAAGAAACCTGAGGTTAAAGAAAAGAAACCTATTCAAAGTAAAGAGGCATATGGATTTTCTGATATATCTTCTAAGTTAAATTTTTCAGATGTTATTAATGAATTGAACTTAGACTTAACAGAAACCACTGAATACTCATCAAGTTCTGATGATTTAGAATTATTGTAATTCTTATTTGTTAAACACAAAAATTTATTTAAAGAATAATAAAAAAGAAAGAATAAAGATTTAATTTGAATATAATAATGGCTCTTTTTCTTCTTCTTTTTTCTCTTCAATACTAATTTCTTCATTTGAAGGATATTTAAATAATTTAGGTATCTTAATAACTCTTGTATACAATAAGAAACCTCCTGTAAGGAATATAAATCCAAATACTTCAATAAATGTAAACCATCCAACTTTCTCTCCAATATCTGGATCAACAACATAATACAAGAACACTGAACATATCCAAATAGTGATCATTCTCATTGGTTCCATAACATTTCTAACCATAGCATTAACATAATCAGTAATCATCATACCTGTTACATTGAAAGCTAAAATTGAAAAAACGTAGGCAATAGTAATACAAATTAATGCAGCAGAATTACCTAACATTATGAAAGTATCTAAACTATCCTCATATAATCCTTTTGGTATAAAATCTATCCCATAATTGGCATCATTATAGAACAAATAATA